GTTTTTTTTTTGGGCGAAAAATTAAGTTTCTCCAATCTTCAAAACTCTGGATTCTGATAGAGGGCCATGAGACTTAGACCTGAGTGCAAAAATGGAGGCTCTAGCCCCTTCCAGAGCTGAGATATCGAAACTCAAAAATTCGGCCCGAAAAAAAAACGACAGTGGTACCCCTTACGTTTTTTTTTTTTGGGCGAAAAATTAAGTTTCTCCAATCTTCCCAAAATCTGGATTCTGATAGAGGGCCATGAGACTTAGACCTGAGTGCAAAAATGGAGGCTCTAGCCCCTTCCAGAGCTGAGATATCGAAACTCAAAAATTCGGCCCGAAAAAAAAAACGACAGTGGTACCCCTTACGTTTTTTTTTTTTGGGCGAAAAATTAAGTTTCTCCAAACTTCCAAAACTCTGGATTCTGATAGAGGGCCATGAGACTTAGACCTGAGTGCAAAAATGGAGGCTCTAGCCCCTTCCAGAGCTGAGATATCGAAACTCAAAAATTCGGCCCGAAAAAAAAAACGACAGTGGTACCCCTTACGTTTTTTTTTTGGGGCGAAAAATTAAGTTTCTCCAATCTTCCCAAAACTCTGGATTCTGATAGAGGGCCATGAGACTTAGACCTGAGTGCAAAAATGGAGGCTCTAGCCCCTTCCAGAGCTGAGATATCGAAACTCAAAAATTCGGCCCGAAAAAAAAACGACAGTGGTACCCCTTACGTTTTTTTTTTGGGCGAAAAATTAAGTTTCTCCAATCTTCCCAAAACTCTGGATTCTGATAGAGGGCCATGAGACTTAGACCTGAGTGCAAAAATGGAGGCTCTAGCCCCTTCCAGAGCTGAGATATCGAAACTCAAAAATTCGGCCCGAAAAAAAAAACGACAGTGGTACCCCTTACGTTTTTTTTTTTTGGGCGAAAAATTAAGTTTCTCCAATCTTCCCAAAACTCTGGATTCTGATAGAGGGCCATGAGACTTAGACCTGAGTGCAAAAATGGAGGCTCTAGCCCCTTCCAGAGCTGAGATATCGAAACTCAAAAATTCGGCCCGAAAAAAAAAACGACAGTGGTACCCCTTACGTTTTTTTTTTTGGGCGAAAAATTAAGTTTCTCCAATCTTCCCAAACTCTGGATTCTGATAGAGGGCCATGAGACTTAGACCTGAGTGCAAAAATGGAGGCTCTAGCCCCTTCCAGAGCTGAGATATCGAAACTCAAAAATTCGGCCCGAAAAAAAAACGACAGTGGTACCCCTTACGTTTTTTTTTTGGGCGAAAAATTAAGTTTCTCCAATCTTCCCAAAACTCTGGATTCTGATAGAGGGCCATGAGACTTAGACCTGAGTGCAAAAATGGAGGCTCTAGCCCCTTCCAGAGCTGAGATATCGAAACTCAAAAATTCGGCCCGAAAAAAAAACGACAGTGGTACCCCTTACGTTTTTTTTTTTGGGCGAAAAATTAAGTTTCTCCAATCTTCCCAAAACTCTGGATTCTGATAGAGGGCCATGAGACTTAGACCTGAGTGCAAAAATGGAGGCTCTAGCCCCTTCCAGAGCTGAGATATCGAAACTCAAAAATTCGGCCCGAAAAAAAAAACGACAGTGGTACCCCTTACGTTTTTTTTTTTGGGCGAAAAATTAAGTTTCTCCAATCTTCCCAAAACTCTGGATTCTGATAGAGGGCCATGAGACTTAGACCTGAGTGCAAAAATGGAGGCTCTAGCCCCTTCCAGAGCTGAGATATCGAAACTCAAAAATTCGGCCCGAAAAAAAAACGACAGTGGTACCCCTTACGTTTTTTTTTTTTGGGCGAAAAATTAAGTTTCTCCAATCTTCCCAAAACTCTGGATTCTGATAGAGGGCCATGAGACTTAGACCTGAGTGCAAAAATGGAGGCTCTAGCCCCTTCCAGAGCTGAGATATCGAAACTCAAAAATTCGGCCCGAAAAAAAAACGACAGTGGTACCCCTTACGTTTTTTTTTTTGGGCGAAAAATTAAGTTTCTCCAATCTTCCCAAAACTCTGGATTCTGAT